AAATGCCCTTTGAATTTACAAGAAGTACAAGTCGTGTCCTTTGCTGGGCAAACTGCTAAGTGTCCTTTTGAGAATGATCCGCCACACTTCATACAGTTGTTACTTCTTTCGAGGTTAAGGGTTGGTTCTCTTTTGACGTTAAAATGGTTGTTTGGTTTATGTACGGATGATCCGTTGGATTTAAAACTATTAGTTAACTTCAAGTGATTTAAAATTCCTTTTTCGTCTATGAGTGCTACATTTAGTGCTTCGCGTGGAGGGAGGGTTTCTGTTAACAATTTCCTTTGGATGTCGTAGTTTTTCATATTATTTATGAAAATATCTCTTATCCACTCTTCTTCTCCTGCGGTTATGTCACACTTTTTTGCCATTTCAGCTAAAGCGCCCCAAAATTGTTCGAGGGATTCTCTGTCGCGTTGTTTTCTATTTAACAGTTTATGTCGTTCGAATGTGACATTTGTCTTTCTTACGAAAGCGATCGCTAGGAACTCCCAGAATCCTTTAAAGAAATTTGTAAAACTTTCACCTTGGTAAATTTTTGTTTTTGTCCGAAGATCCTTTTTCCTTCGTTTCCCAGTGCCAGATATAGGACCGAACGTAATTTCTTGTCGGCTTCTTCTATTCGCATTCCGTTAAATTTCTTGGTTTCGGTTTTTATCGATGCTGTTTCTTCTTCGTCATATCTTCTTTGTTCTTGAGTATTTCTCTCCATTCTCGAGCGTCTTTGAGTATCTGTTTCACCGTCCGTTGAGTTTTCCAAATTTGGAGGTAATGGGTGTTGTCTCTCCAACGGATTGAGTAGATTTTCTATATCTATGTTTTCTTTAGCAATTATAGCTAATTGAAACAGATCACACCAGTCTTCCCATGGAATGGGGGGGTCTACCGTATAGTTTTGCCAAAAGGGAGGTATTCCTCTCACGTTAGATTCGTTAGATGACTGCGCCATGATAAAATGTTACTTTGTTGTAGCTAATTCTAGGTTAAAACTATTAAAAAGAATAAGGAATAAGATGAATTAGTCGGTAAGTTAAAACATTAAAACAATGAGAGATCATTCTCTCCGCCGGAGAGAATGGCCAATGAAGGTCATATCTGAGTGACCAGTTAATTAAACTAAATATGTTTTGCAATAATTGCAAAACATGATGTAAATCACAACACCATCTTTTCACACTTCAGACGCCACTTTAGTGAGAGCCAGACTGACCTCACTTCCCTGCTTCCTCTGCTGCTCCACTCTCACTTTTCAACTCTCGATTTCACTCTGCAACACACAACAGTTCAGTCAGTCTAGGTTAAGGAAAAACGTAAAGAAAAAGAACCCATGAAAAACGTATTTGGTCTGCATGTTTAACCTTATAAAACCCCTCGTGACTCTTTTTCCTCCCCCCCCCCCCACCTCACTCAGACATGAATTTTATAGTCTAACGAGTGGTTTTACAAGGTTACTTATTAAGACCAAATATGTTTGTCATGGCCTAATTAGTCTGCATGTCAATTTTCATGACAATCTGATAAAATGAACAGTAACTTCAAATATAAAAATTTGCAGATGGGGGAAAAGGAAAAAGAACCCCCCTCGTTACGCCAGAAAAGTGATGGTCGTGGGAGGTGGGGGAAAAAAGAGCCAAAACGTGTTAGCAAGATAACATTTCGGCTCTTTTTCCTTTAAAATCCACCTGCAAAAATTTACAAATGAAAAATTTGCTCACTTTATTCGATTGGTTTGGAAATTGGCATACGGACTAATGGCAAACATAATTGGTCGGTATAATTATTCTTGTAAAACCACTCGTTACACCATAAATTGATGCTCGTGTAAGATGGGGGAAAAAGGAAAAAGAGCCAACATTTCTTACATGCAATTTGCCGTAACAACAGTTTTTGAAAAGACTTTGACTTGTAATTTTACGGGGGTGGGAAACAGGAAAATAGTAATAACTGAAATGGATGGGGGGTGTAGGATGGAGGATGTTAACTTGATCCCAACTAAAAATTTTGTATCAATCAAATTTCAGAAAAAGGCTCGGGCTCTTTTTCCTTTCCCCACCCCCCCCCCCCCCACCTGCAAATTTTTACATGTAAATTTGTTGACCACGTTGTTCAATTGTTATGAAAAATTACGTACAGACTAATAAGGCCATGACAAACATATTTGGTCTTCATACTCAACTTCGTAAAATCACTCGTTACACTAATATATTGAAGCTCGGGTGAGGTGGGGGGAAAAAGGAAAAAGAGCCAAGGCTCGGTAACATCCTCCCACCTCCCCCACCCCAAAGCCGTTTAGGGGGAGAGAGGGGGAGGGAGGATGTTAACTTGGTTCTAAGTTAGAAAAATTCAGCCAATCAGAGTCGAGAATTTTACATGTAGCGCTTAGCAAGTTTGATGCGAATAAAATGCTGGGGTGGAAGATCTTAGCTTGGTCTATCGGGGGGGATGTAAACTTGATCAAAGGCTCTTTTCCAGTTTCTGAAATTCAAATTCCTGAAGTCCACGGTAACAACAGTTTTTAAAGAAATTTATGCAGTAATTTTACGGGGGGTGGAGGATCCCCCCTAGTTAACATTTCCCCCCCCCCCCCCTCCCCCCGAATAGACCAAGTTAAGATCACCCACCCCAGCGCTGAAGTTAAATTAAAATTGTTAAGCGCTGCGTGTAAAACTGCTCGAGTCTGATTGGCTGAAAATTCCTAACTAAGAACCAAGTTAAAATTCTCCTTGGGGGGGGGGTGAACTTTTAACGTGAACATCTTGGTTCGCGTTATCTGCTAAGCAGCTGTTTACACCAGGCAAAAAAGGTGACAGGGCATTAAGGCGACAAGACATTAAGGCAACAAGACTTAAAGGCGACAAGACATTTGGACGACAAAAATGTATTAGCATCCAAAACTACTGCAAAGACTAGCAATGCCATCCCAATAAGTTGTTACAGATAACGACCCACCAAGTGCAAGAACTTTACCTGAGTTATTTTCTCGTTTAATAATGGGTGCATGTTTAATTGTTAAAAATTCCGTTTTGTATTTCTGAAATGTATTTATTACAAAATACACTTCTGAGACATACAACGAAATTTTTAACGCACCAACTTGGTAATTAAATGACCTATAAAACGAGAAAATAACTCGACTAAAATTCTCGCATTTACGTGGTTCGCTATCTGTAAAAACTTATTTTTCCTTATCCCTTCACCTCACACGAGCTTCAATATTAGTGTAACGAATGGTTTTAAGAGGTTGATGATGAGGTTGTTTGTCGTGGCTTTATGTAAATTTTCATAACAATCGGACAATGTGGTCAACAAATGTACATGTAAAAAAATTGCGGGTGGGATAAGGAAAAAGAACCCTTTTTGGGATTTGTAGTAATTTTTTGCATTTTCTCAGAAATTTTTACTGTCAGAAAAAAAAGAGAGAAAAAATAGGATTGCGTCCAAGTTCTCAGAGTGGCTGTTGAGAGGTGCTCGCTGAATAGTGCTGTCCAACTTTCGCACCGTGCTGAGACTTTTGCCTGCTGTGTTTCCACCCTGGTTTGCCTCTCATCATACAACCTGGTCATGTCGCTTGCACTATAGAACCAGAATCACATAGAGCTTAGTGTGGACACCAGATCAACACGTGGCACACTCTGAGAACCGATCACACACTCCCTGTCGTCCAAGTATCGAGACTCACAGAACTACGCCACTAGTTCCGACAATATCATGGCTAGTACTCTGAGATTTGAGCTGCTTTGCCATCAGTGTTATTAATTATTCAAAGTTGATGAAATTCTGAGGGGCTCTTTTCCAGTATCCCCCCCTTTCATTTTTTCTGAAGTTCATTACATGAAAGTCTTTTTAAAATAATTTTTAATGTTATAAACTGCATTAAAACGTGTCAGCGTGAACAGCTGAACAAACTTTCACAACATTTCTTACATGAAAATTGCCGTGTGAACAATTTTTGAACATCTCTTTTTGTAATTTAACAGGGGGGGGGGGGGGGAACTGGAAAAGAGCCTTCTGAGGTTATACCTTTTGTGAAATGTTCCCAAGTTTACAGCCCTGACTTGATTTCCGGGCTCTTTTTCCTTCCCCCCACCTGCAATTTTTTTTTACCAGTAAAGTTACTGTTCAAATTATCCCATCATTATGAAAGTTCACATGCGGACTAATTATAAGGATGTGCCAAACACATTTGGTCTTCATAGTTAACCTTGTAAAACCACTCGTTACACCATAAAATTGATGGTCGTAGGTGGGGGAAAGGAAAAAGAGCCCATGAAAAACGTATTTGGTCATTCCGCATTACACTTTCTAAAACCCCTCGTTACACCATAAAATTGATGCTTATTGATATGGGGAAGGAAAAAAGCCAGGAAAATAAAACAGGAAGCCCTGTTTGTATTGGAGGGAAGAAAAAAGAGCTGCTCTTTTTCCTTTCCCCCCCCCCCACCTGCAAAATTTTTTAGTGAAGTTTTGTTCACTTTATCCGAATGTTACAAAAATTGGCATGCGAACTAATTAGGCCATCACAAACATTTTTGGTCTTCATAGTTAACCTTGTAAAACCACTCGTTACACCATAAAACTGATGGTCGTAGGTGGGGGAAAGGAAAAAGAGTCCATGAAAAACGTATTTGGTCATTCCGCATTACACCTTCTAAAACCCCTCGTTACACCCTAAAATTGATGCTTATTGATATGGGGAAGGAAAAAAGCCAGGAAAATAAAACAGGAAGCCCTGTTTGTATTGGAGGGAAGAAAAAAGAGCTGCTCTTTTTCCTTTCCCCCCCCCCACCTGCAAAATTTTTTAGTGAAGTTTTGTTCACTTTATCCGAATGTTACAAAAATTGGCATGCGAACTAATTAGGCCATCACAAACATTTTTGGTCTTCATAGTTAACCTTGTAAAACCCCTCGTTACACCATAAAATTGACTCTTATGTGAGGTGAGGGGAAGGAAAAATAAAACAAGAAACCCTGTTTGTATTGTTAAAAATGTATCGCATGGTTTACATGCGGCAGCTTCCCCTCAGTCTCTTGACCTTGAACCCCGTAGTCTCTTGATTTGTAAGGGCAGGTACAACCGCCTTCAACACATGGGGGCGTATCCCACAGTGTGAATCGTATCCCTGACCCGAGCGACGGTACAGCACTTGGTTACAGTCATACACCTCAGTCTCTTGACCTTGAACCCCGTAGTCTCTTGATTTGTAAGGGCGGGTATGACTGGGCTCTTCGCAATCACATTATAGGGCTGTTCGGATCACTAGGCATGTAGAGGGTCACTTGGACGGATCAAGCGCAGGGCTTCAACTACTCCACACCAATCAGCCCTACCGATAGCCAGGGATTCGATCCCACAATCTCTCGATCGTAGGCTCTCTGACGGAACTTCTGTGCTACATTTCCCCGAAAAATCTTCCATATGAAAAATATTTAAAGCAGTTGGTGTGGAAATCATTAGATTAGGTTCTCTTTCTTTCTTAACAATAAGAAGAGATTTTCTTGTTTCTACCTCACGTAAGCAAGTATCAATGCCTTTTTTTTCGAATATCCAAGTTTGGAACTCTTCTCTCCCTCCCCCCCGCACCTCGCTTTTTTTCCTTCTTCCCACCATCATGGTGTAACAAGAGGTTTTACCAGAATAAGTATGAGGACTAGAATTTTTTTTTCATGGGCTCTTTTCCACCCCCCCCCCCCCCCCCTAATTTTTTTTTTCATTTTGTCCAATTGTTACAAAAATATGCATGTGGAATAATTAGGCCATGAAAAACACATTTGGTCCCCATATTCAACCTTGTAAAACCACTCGTTACACCATAAAACTCCGTTTTCTTTTAATTTGATGAGCTAAGTGGTATTTACACCAGTTCAGCTTATGAATGCAATTTTGCATTACCATTTGTTCTATGTTGATCTGTATTATCATCAATGAACGCAACGCATGCATTTGCTGGCTCAGTCTATATTCAACTATCCAGCAACAAGTCACAGATGGTCTAGCGGTCAGGATTTCTGACTCTCACCCAGGATGCCAGGGTGTCGACTCCCGGTCAGGGAAACTTTTTATTGTTATATTGAGGCTTCATGCCAATTTTCATGACGATCGCCAATCGGCCAACGAACAAAAATTGAAAGTACAACAAAAAAATTGAACAGGCCCGAACGGGTTCGGGCCTAGTTTTTAATTATAAAACAATATCTTCGGGCCCTTTTCGGGCCTAAAGCGTAAACAAGAGGGCAAAGTTAAATTCCACCTCTGCAAAAAATGGGGAGGGGGAATAAAACAAGAAGAGCCAGGACATGTACCTTCGGCTCTTTTCCAGTCCCCCCCCCCACCTTTCAAAATACCGAGTTTTATATTTCTTTTACGTGTTATTACGGCTAGCGTGATGTTACGCTGTAAAGTATGAAGAACAAATCTGTTCAGAATTGTCGATTTGTTCACCACGCCAAATTTCATTGCATTATGACAACGTTAAATATACTTTTCAAAATTGAATTTGAAGGGGGACTGGAAAAGAGCCAGTACTTCATGTAGCTTTCTGAGATCCTCCGTTTCTTTCTCTTGCAGGTGTTTTTCGGTGTCTGCCCTCCTCTTCCGCTCTCCGATTTGTCGGTTGAGACTGTCCCGTACCGAGAAAATTCTTTATTTCTGACCTGAAATAGTTTGTATCTAATCTAATTTCTGGCCAGAAATTCTTTTTGAAATGTTTAAATAAATCATGGATTTTCTTTGAATACTTTATTTCTAATCCTATTTCTGATCAGAAATTAGCTAAACCTAGGCTATTTCTAGCTAGAAAAAAGTCTACTGGTGGGTCTCGAACCCCCGACTATCTGATTTCTGGATATTGGCTCTATCCACTAGGCTACAGACCTGTAAACTGTTCAATTGTTTCAGGAGAATCACAATCTTATAACAAGTGTAAGTTTGCATTATATTCGCTACTGCTATTGTGTATACTCGCATCATGTTTATCTCGTTGCGGTTGAGCAGTGAACTGGTTTCTGGTTATTTCTTTCCAGAAACTGTTTGTTTCCAAACTAAAAAAGAAATAGATCACTTCTGCACGGAAAATACGAGAAAGCTAGGCTAGATAATCTACATAGAATTTCTATCTAGAAAAACAGCTTCCGTTGGGTACGGGGTCCACTTCGGCAGTCGAGTCCAGTGACTTGTTCCTCCAGCTCTGTGATCTTGGACTCTGCCGCCTTTCTGGCCGCTCTCTGCTCCCGGTAGGCCTGCATCAGCTTCGCAACGTCCTCCTCCAGTTCTAAAATAAAACAGAAGTTTGATAAAAACAATTGCAATTAATCGGTCTTTTTTGATAAAATTAACTCAATTTGAGACAACTGAATGCGGTCAAAAGGTAGACATCTCATAAAATATACAAGTTGTTAGCCAATCACAGAAACGATTAAGCCAATCACAGATACGATTAAGCCAATCACAGATACGATTAAGCCAATCACAGATACGATTAAGCCAATCACAGATACGATTAAGCCAATCACAGATACGATTAAGCCAATCACAGATACGATTAAGCCAATCACAGATACGATTAAGCCAATCACAGATACGATTAAGCCAATCACAGATACGATTAAGCCAATCACAGATACGATTAAGCTAATCACAGATACGATTAAGCCTATCACAGATACGATTAAGCCAATCACAGATACGATTAAGCCAATCACAGATACGATTAAGCCAATCACAGATACGATTAAGCCAATCACAGATACGATGATTGTGCTCTGATCTGGCGTAGCGCTTTCTATGATCAAAAATTACTTCAAAGCTTTGCGACGGAAAAACAGCAGCGTCCCGGGTTGACCTCCATAGACCAAAAATGCTAATCATACAATTTCATAAACTTAGTCTATGGAAAAATGCTAGTCATACAAATTTCATACATTTTTGCAAAATGAGTTTAATCATCGAATTTCAAAGGTATTTTATAGTTGTAAAAAAAGGAAAAAAAATGGTATGACTAGCATGGAAATTGTATGACTAGCATTTTTTTTGATGGCGACGACAAAAATTTTTCAAAGTTTTTTTGAAATTGCCCCCAAAATTTTTTTTGTGTTTTTTTTTCAATCGCAAACTGATTTTCGTATTCAAACAAACATTTTTTTTTTAAATTTAGCATGCAAAACTTATTTTTTTTGTGTGTATAACGTAGTTATGCATATACTTATATTGGATTTTTTTTCCTTTTCTCTTCATAACTTTTTTCAAAAACGCTTAAAACTCCTCTTTCTTTTGTATGACATGTTTTTGTTTGTCTGGTAATTTAAAAATTAATAATCATCTTTGAAAATTATTGCCAAAATTTAAAACTTCATTACTTTCATTATATTATTTGTGTGAGACAGAAGTAACATATATCAGGCTGTTTGCAATGCATTTTTAATGCGAGACGGCCAAACTTTTGGTTACTACATTTGAGTAATCAAGGTTTATGTCGTTTGCGTTCGGTTACGAACACAACCAAAAAAATTTGAGAAATTTAAATGTAAAAAATCAAAACTTTTGGTTTATGGAAAAATGCTAGTCATACAATTTCCATATATGAAAAAATACTAATCGTAGACCTTTCATACAATTTTTTGTACGTATGGAATTGTATGGAAAGTGTACGACTAGCATTTTTCCATATATGGAAATTGTATGACTAGTAGTTTTGGTCATCCCGGGGTGTTAACCAATTATGATATGGTAGGGAGTCAAGGCTCTACATCATGGAACTAACAGCAGTGATAGGTCTTGTATTCAGTGATTGCTCAAACAGGCAAACCTTAGTGAACGAATACAGAGGGAGCCAGTTTGATCCAGTTTTTAATGCAAGTTAAAAGTTCCTTCCAACAGGATCCCTGAGCTACCTGTGATTCTGTTCCCAAAGGTGTCCAGATCCTCTCTCATCTGGTTCTTGCCCAGTGCCTCTTCGTTCACTTGGGCCTTGAAGTCCAGCTGGCGCTGCTTGTGAGTGGACAGGTCGAACTGCAGTTCGGCCACTTTGTTGTTCAGCGAGTTCAACTCGTTCAGAATCTGAGTCTTTTCCTGTTCCAGCTGGGTAATTTTGATCTGACTAGCCGAGGACACACTCTAAACATCGACTAGTTACACAAAAACAGTTTTCATTAGCCTCTCGATCATTTGTTTGTTTTTATTATTTTTTAAGATTCCGAAATTCAAGTCAATTGTTATTTATTTCAAGCAATTTCTTTGAATTCTACTTTTGATTGAGGTAATCAAACTTTTTTATATAGAAGACAGAATCTAAACTTGACTGTTTAGAACGTCATCGCACAACTCTAAATATACTCCTTGCTATCGCTGCTCGGATATCTGCTTTCGAACTCATTTCAAACTTAGCATCCCGAATTACGCATCAAAACTCAAGCTCAACAATTAGCACATGTACCTGAAAGGACTCGTTTCTCTGTTCGAGCATGATGTTGCTCTGCTCGAGGTACTTCTGGTTCTGAGCCAGCAGACTGGCTTTCTTCTCCGTCTGGCAGTCCACCGTCGCCCTCGCCTCATCCGATTCTTTCTTCAGACGCTCATTCTCCTTAAAAACAGCCCAGGAAAATAATGGATAAAACTGAAACGTGTGACTTGAATTTTAATCTATACCGAAAAACTATGATTATAATCAGGGTTGGATCTAGGATTTTCTCGAGGGTGGCGCGGACGACCTCGAAAATTTTGACGACCTTTTTTTAAGGTCGACCAAATTGAGTTTCCGAGCTCTCCTAAAGCACTAAAAAGGCGCTGTTTTGGTCAAATTTTCTGCGCCAAATTTTTCCAGTCCCCTTATTTGAATTTCAATTTTGAAAAGTCTATTTAACGTTGTCATAAGGCAATGAAATTTTGCGTGGTGAACAAATCGACAATTCTGAACAGATTTGTTCTTCATACTTTACAGCGTAACATCACGCATTTAGCCATAATAACACGTAAACAAACATAATACTCGGTTTTTTTTGAAAGGGGGGACTGGAAAAGAGTCTCGGAGAGCTGGCAAAATCAAATTGATCAACCTAAAAAAAGTCCACAAAACTTTTTTTGACCTACAAAAAAAGGTCCACAAAAAAGGTCCAATTAAAAAAAAACGTCCACAAAAAAAGTCCCGGTGATTAAACCAAACTCCTTGTAAACACCCCTGTAAACCAGGTCTTGCAACTGATTCCAAAATACAAGATACCTGCACCACTCGGTGTATTTTCTGCATGAGGACTGCCGCTTCCATAGACACTCGGCTGTTTCCAGTTCCAAACGGGGTGTCTCTGGATGCGAGCACCTCTACCTTTTGCTGCACCTGGTCTAGCTTGGAGGACACCTGCATCACTTGACTTCGCAAGTCATTCTGAACCCATAAAAAACAAACACACTTTGTCTCCAAATTGAGGTTTCAGAAAAACATCATGAGGTACAAGTATGACAGTTGGATCATTTGAAAAAATGGGCTCTTTTTCCTTCCCCCCCCCACTTGCAAATTTTTATATTTGAAATTACTGTTCACTTTGTCCGATTGTCTTGAAATTTGACATGCAGACTAACTAGGTCCTCATAATTAACCTTGTAAAACCACTCGTTACACCATAAAATTCATGTTTGAGTGAGTTGGGGGGGAAGGGGGGGGGGGGGAAGGAAAAAGAGCCAAAAAATGATGTATCCGCCAAAAAAAGTAATGGGCATCAAAACATTTGACAACATGTTCGCCAATTTTGTTTGCGGTCCCCTCATAAAAAGGGAGGGAGTCATCATTCATTTTTGATTTTTCTAAGGACCCAACAATCATAATTGAACCCACCAAACCTCCCTTTCGTGATCTCAAGACCAAGTAAATATTCTCCCCTAAAAGGATGGGGGACTTACCTTGTTCTATCTGCGTTACATTATGGAAGGGCTATCTTTGATAATTGAATAAGAGTTAGTCGAACCACTTTGTCTAATTACTTTCAAATTGTCGCTTTGAAAAAAAAGGGATGTAGCTCAAATGGTAGAGCGCGCGCTTAGCATGCGCGAGGTACGTGGATCGATGCCTCGCATCTCCAATCGGTTAAATTTTCCTACAAACTTTTTACACCAATTTATTTCAAATTAGGTCTCATAAAATTTTCTGGGCTCGGCTCTTTTTCTTTTTCCCCCCACCTGCAAAATTTTTCTAGTGAAGTTTTGTTCACTTTATCCGAATGTTACAAAAATTGGCATGCGAACTCATTAGGCTATGACAAACTTTTTTGGTCTTCATAGTTAGCCTTGTAAAACCCCTCGTTACACCATAAAATTAACGCTTATGTGAGGTGGAGGGGGAAGGAAAAAGAGCCCTGGGCTCTTTTCCTTCCCCATCCCCCCGCCTGCGAGTTTTGTCTTGTAAATATTATGTTCACAATGTCTGATGATCATTACAAAAATTGGTATGCAGACTAATTAGGCCACGAAAAACACTGCGACCTTGTAGAACCTCTCGTACACCATAAAACTGATGCTTATGTGAAGTAGGGGTGGGGGAGGGAAAGAGCAAATTTCTGCTCATGTGGAACCTGATCTAAACTATATTTTATGATTGGATAAATTAGATATTTTACCACTGTAAAGTATTTAATATTAACCAATCATGATCCATCTAACTAACAACCCACTTATTTGTAAGTGCTGAAATTACTTGTAATTTCAGCACCAGAGAGATTTGAATTTAACTTAGAAATTAGTTGTCTCTCCAAGAGAACTTCAGCAGCTGCAACGAACCAGTATACCCTAGATCTATTGAGCTTAGCAGAGACTAGTTAAACACCCTGAAACTAGAAAGTATAAGCGTAAGATTAGGATCGGTATTAGACTAAGAAGTTGCACGAATCTATCCGGCCGAAAATAAGATAGCGTGACGAGCAGACGGTGTATCCTATCCGAAATTACTCTATGAGTTAACCACATCGGTCCTAACTCATCTGGTGCGACCATAAGTCTCGAATAAGACCTTAATAGCTTAGAATTAACCAAAAATAGATTAGAAATTAGACAACTAAAATCATGGCACAAATACAAAACTAAGCCCGTAAAAGCAGATACCACAATTTTAGGAAATGAAACACTCCTTCGATATTTCCGAAAATTTAATAATACAACAATTAATGAAAACAAAGACCTTCTAGAATAACAATTAAAAGATTCTATAGTTCCCTGTCTCCCTTTAAGTATGATACTAATAGCTTTTAACATTTCACATACACAAAATACTAAAGGACACTCTGGATCAGAGAAAACATATTCAAATTTTACACAAAATTTTTATTTCCCAAATGCACCAATTTGGATAAAAGTACTATGCATTGACTGTATAGTGGGTCAGCTAAATAAACCTTAACCAAATCAAAATAAATAGCACAAAAACAAGATTTTAAAGGACAAAGTTTATATTTTAACCATCGTATATCATTCGATACAAAAGGACCAATTTCACCATCCTCTGAAGGAAACTCCTACATTATGGTAATTGTTGATGCATTTACACATTATGTAGCACTCAGCCCAGTACCACATTGTAACGCTTATTATGCTTACACAACACTTTATGAACACTGGATAGCTAAATTCGGATTACCCGAAATCTTAAATACAGACAACGGTACAGAATTCATAGATAATGAAATCATCACACTATGTCACTTATTTAACATCAAACACAAACGACGTACATCTCATGCACCTTGGACAAACGGTTTAGTCGAAGGTATGAACCGTTCATTACAAGAATATCTTAGATGTATCATAAATGGATATGATACAAGATACACAGAATGGTCAGCAGATGTAAAATTATTTCCCTTAGGATATAATTCACAAATTACGACAACTCTAGGAATGTCACCATACGAAATGGTTTTTAATCAAAAGCCACGTAAACCAATTATGTTTACAGCAAATTCTCATAAAAATGCACAAGGTCATTGCCAACCAAATAAAGACTCAGTTTGTTATAACCTACCCTTACACACGCATGATGAAGATCATTTTCATCATCCGCAAATCCTTAAATTAGCCTCCGGTACACACACCGAATGGATTTTAAATAGAGATAAAAAATACAATGAAATTTACCAAAGAGTAACAAAAAAATTGTTACAAAGGCAAAACATTAACGAACAAATTAATTCACGCTTTACACCAGCCTCAGATTTAAAAATTGTAACATTTGTCTTAAGACCTAATTTTATTACACAAAAAGGAATTTCTAAAAAATTACAACCCCTTCGCAAAGGACCATACCAAATAATTGCCAAACCCACTGACGTAACATATAAAATCACCGATTCAGACCAAAAAGAAATTGTTCAACATCGGAACAATATATTGCGTTACTACCAAAAAGAATACGCACTACACGAATTAACTCAATTATATTCTTTCAAATGAAAAGAAATAAATGAACAAAACGACATTCATCATGGAAAACAAAACACAAAACCAACTACAACCCAAAACAATACAAAAAAGCTAGATCAAAAAATACCTCAAAAAGAAAGGAAAAACAGAAAAATGATAGAAAAAATTATACCACAAGAACAACTCGAGAAATCAGAACATAGAGAGTCATCACGACTTAGAAATCAACCACGTAAACTACAAAACATTCATCCCACAATCTAAAATATTAAAGAAAGTTGAATTTCAAAAACAACCTAAATTTTAAAATTAATAATCTTTGCACCTCTGAATCATTTTGAATTTTCATTTTTCAAAATAACATGCTGACAATTACGCAATAATTCTAGTTCAAATTTAGCCAGTAGGATTCATTCAATTCGTCACCTTCTATAACTATAACACCAACCAATTAGACGAAAGATATTAAACTCCAGGAATATCTATAACTATAACTTTACAACCTCCAGGTCAAAAATAAGCAAACCACTCAAACTTGACAACTAAAATAAATACCACCATAATATCATAACCCTTCCTTATCTAATAACGCAAAGATCAACAATATTTTCCCAACTTAGACCTCAAAAACCCCCCAACCAAAAATGATAAATTAGCCTAAAGTAAAAATACGACCATATTAGTTTAGCCTAAAGTACAAAAATCTCAAAAAAAACCCCAGATCACCTGACAAATAAAAATAAAGTAAAGAAGACCTCCCGAACACCATAAAATTCGCCCCCAACAGTTTTTCACAAAACTCAACCCACTTGCCAAAAAACCAATAAATAACTCGACCACACTTGAAAGTCGCCAAAAACAACAAAAAATATTCGACCAAGGAGTCATTTCTTAAATGCTCTTCTCTCGATCAGACAATACAATTTTCAACATTTTCTTGAACTTTTTCACAATACTTAAACTTTTATTCATTTTTCTCTGTGATACCTTTGAAGCTTTTATAAGAATTTTAATCATTTTTTGCAATATTCTTGTAATTTTCTACTCCCAATTTGAAATATATCTCCAACTTTCCCAAATCATTGACCATATTCACAGGTACGATAACCCAAAGTTTATTTAAATGATACGAACAATTTTTAGTAGAACAGATATTTTTTTACTATTTGTAATTTTTATAACATTTTTATCATCCTTAATATTGACAATGTGCAAATGTACAAAAAAGGCAATAATCACATTCGCCTTAGCATCAATCTTTTTAATTCTTTTCCTTGAAGAATACTACAATAAACATAAATTTTTTTACTAAGAAAAATCAATCAGAAAACCTTCAAAAATTGCTAACTAACAATCAAACAGTCAGTCTTCACCGACATCATCCCAAGAAAACCCGACAATACCTACAACTACCCAAAACCACCAAACATCCACACGAATTTCTTTCCAAGATAACCCATACACTTTTGAAGAACGACACGCTCGCTTATCTGAACCATTAGAACCAGTTCAGCGACAGGCACCCCTAAGTGAACCAACATATAACTTGTACCCAACATTACCACAAGAATTAAGTAGAATAAGAAATATCAGTCAAAACCAAAATACAGTTGAAATAAATAGACAAATTATACATCCACGACGAAATAGAAATTTTCAAACCCCCCGAGTTTATTTTGATATAACCCAATCCCCATCACCAAGTACTCCAGAAAACCCAATTAGCATACTACCGGAAACCCCTACACTTCTTTCACAACGTAGCATCTCAAGTATACCCTCAGATTACTTAGGTTCAACACCAACATCTGAAAAAATACGTGACAATCCCTTTAACCCCCCCAACCAAACATCACGACTACCATATTGGACAACGCACTCAATCACACAAGGTGAACCAAATTTAATAAAGGACCCAATAGATATTTCTACGGATACAACAACACCATCACCACTACCAGAAACATTATCACTACCATC